ACACAATGGTAAATTCTGGGATGGTAAACAACTGCTCTACTTACATTGTGACAGCTGTGATGATCATAACATTTGCAAACAAAATTGCGGCCTATAGTGATCAAGTTTGTCTGTGTAGGATGTTATCACAACCCTATTTAAACATTTGTTTGAAGTTGCAGTTCAATTGCATTTTAAAATTTGTATCTGTATTTTATGTGTGCAAAGATGGTGGTTCACAATTGCTTAAGTCAAAGATGGAGGGGCAAAAACTGCCACATCAGAGTATTATTTTTGCAGATAGTTGATCTCCCTGATTCTAACCAGATGATTCCTGTTTTACTTTCAAAATGACATCACCCCTGTTTGCTGGATATGTGAAATACCTTCATTTCTATTGTTATATGGCAGCTTTGATCGAACAAAGGAGAGCTTGATCACATACTTTTATTGGTTTTTCATCCAAACACGATAAAAAATAATTCTTTGGCTTTGTTTGCTTGCTTTACCCACTCCATTTTGCTGTATCGATTTCTATATTATGGTGGTTAAACATATTGTTGATCACATAATAATTTGTATTTATACAGTAGGTTGTAAAAAAAAGAATCGGCCTTTAAAAGAGATAAGCTTTCTCAGCCTACTCCTTTTATCACTACTTAAATTATAATTTTGTGCATTGTCTTTTTATTTATACTTGGAGCTCATGCTATATTATCTTCAGTGATTTGTTTCTGTGTTACATACTCATTTTGTGTTTACTGTGTCTGCAATTGCAATTCTAACAACTGTGTTATGTATATTGCATGCATCTTTCTGCCATTTAAGAGTTGTTTTGTTTGTGTAGAAATGCAGGTTTATTCTGTACGTATATTTTTTGGTCAATCATAACTTTATTTCATATGTTCTTCCACGTGTTCTGTCTTCATGTCTGTCCTAACATTATAACATGCATTACCGTTTCTTTGGGGACAGCTATGATGTCTAGTCACAATGTTGTATGAATGCTGTTAGATTTGTGTAGGAAATGGATCAAAATATGCACTCGGCGCAAGCGCAAATATGCACAAGCCAACAATTTTCCATCTTTGTAATTGTTGTTTTGTACATTGATATCAAGTTGGCAAAAAGCATTGGGTTGTATCTTGTCAGAGGTAACTCCATTTTTATACAAAAAAAAATGAAAATAAAAGATGAAATAAAAGTTTAAAGAGAAGATTTTTGGTGACCTTGTTTAGTTACACACCTTTTGTACTCATGTCCTTTTTCTCACTATCATAAAGCATAAAGAGTGGAATATAGTTTATTTTATTGATCGGAAAAGTATGAAATACCTCCAACACAGGTCAGAATTACAAAAATCAAGAATTGTACACACGCACACGTACTTTCAATAAATCGTAATACCGACCTGCCGAACAGTGGGCAAACTAGCTTTTCAAATGTCCCGCTCATGGAGCCGGATAGGCTAGTGGATATGACGTCATGTGGGATGTGGCTTTTTTTATGGCACTCCATTCAGCTTAGAACCAATAAATGGGCCAAGTAGACGCTCCACAACTGTAGAAAAACACAGGTTGTGTGATTATTTGCATTTTCTCGTGCTACTTCCACCACCTACTGGTTACAACACCCCTTAAACGGCGAAATTGCGATATGCGCTGGCACTGCCGACGCCTAGGCAGCAGGCAACCCAACATACACCACTGCCCGATGGTGGGGGCGTACACGTGAAGGTACAAGGTACTGAATCAATATTAAAGGTATGGGTGCGCCCTGAGGTGGATTAGGGCTTCGTTTAGCCAAATCGTGTGATTCAGTCAATCTAACGACGTAAATTTTAGGCCACAGAACGATCGTTTGCTGACCTTCCTTTGCCAGGTTTGCAGACGGACTTTCCTTGTGTTTTGTTCTTTTTTACACTGCCTTTTCGAAAGCTGCGGAGACGCCCGAACATTAAACGTCAGAATTAAAATAAATTTTAGTATTCAGTCATAAGTGGGGAAATAACCTTTTAAGCCTCTTCGGGAGGATGCTGTGTTCTTCAGTTTGTTTGTAAACTTTGCTTATGTGTTTGATCTGTGTTGATGGAACAATGGGACATCCGTGAAGTCTAGAAGAGAGCATCATGGAGTTTCCTCGGAGCGAAAACCTGTGCGAGTGATAATTGTGAGAGGAAGCTTCCAGTGTTTTTTCCTTATTTTAAAACATCAACACAGACATTGTTAATATCAACAAACATTCGTGAAGAGGTTTGGGCATGGTTTAAAGCCTTATGTAGCACTACTGGTTGGTTCGGCCAGTGAGCCACTGTGGCCTAGGCTAGGCTACAAGCCCTCCTAGACCAAGAGGCCTATTGTAGAAGTGGTGACTAACCTAGATACAGAGGTGCGGCCTAAAATGAAGTAGCAGTTTGAACCATGAAACTGCCTCCAGCCACCGATATGAGCATAGCTCCTGTTTCTATTATGGAAGTAGCTCACCACAAAGGTGATTCGTCTGATAATTTTCGGAAAGGCGAGCAGGGTTATGATTATGGCTTAGGCTCCAAGTGGGCTGGTCTGGTGTCTGAAGCCCGCGAGCTGGCCGCTCGGTTCAACAAGGACATGAGCGGCGGCCAGGACATGCTCAATATGAGCCTGGGTGGTGAAGATCAAGATCTGGAAGATGATGAGGATGATGAAGATGGTGATGATGAAGAAGAAGATGAGGAGGGTAACGAAGGTGTCGACTGCCCACCGAGTATTCCCAAGAGTCTTTCATCCAATATTCCAGCAAGTGCTCCTTCCACAGAATTCAGCAATGATTTTCCTTTTGCTAATGGTGTTGATCATGATAGCAACAATGACAATGATGAAGAAAAGAATAACATTTCTGGTGGTGCAAATCCATTTGGACTAGACACAGACCAATGGTCGACAGATGAAAGCAGTGACAGTGACGACGATGTTCAAAATGATATTCCTTTAAAGTATCCCAATAGTGATCCACTTGAATGTAAATTCTGCGGGAAGATGTATACCAAAATCTTTGGATTGCAGCGTCATGAAGCAGCTCACGAGGGCAAAAGTATATTTCAGTGCCGATCATGTGACCGAATTTTTCCATCGAGGGATAGACGAGAAAAGGTGGGTACATTGATGGAAATGTAGTTTTGTAAGATAGAATATAACTTTCAATCTAATTATATTTTGTTTACTTTCAGCATAAGTTGGATATGCATTATACTTGGAAGTGTCACCTATGCTCTCAATCTTTCCCCAAGTCTAAGCGCCTTGAAATTCATGTTGGAATTGCACACAATGGTAAATTCTGGGATGGTAAACAACTGTTAGATGAACGCCCAGCTTCCGAAATGTTTGTTTGCAACCAGTGTGGTAAAAGCTTTGCCAACAAAGCAGTAATGAAAGTAAGTTGTAATTTATTTAGGAAAAAGCATCATTTGTCCACCACTGTTCCAAATTTATTTAATTTTATGATGTTTCTCTCAGTACCATATTGAATCAAACTGTGGCTCTGAACCAAAGTTCGTGTGTGCAACATGTGGAAAGAAATGTTTGAGCCAAGATTCTTTGGCTTCTCACATGTCAATACACACAGGAGAAAAGGCATATCTATGCCGTTTTTGTGGTGCAAGTTACCGATCAAAGGTTTGTAGGAGTGCAATATGGAGAAAAATTATCATATCCCAGATTGTTGAAAATTATTGTTAATGATATCTGTGTTGTTTTCTTCAGGGTCAAATGAAAGTTCATGAACGCACTCATACTGGAGAAAAACCCTTTGAATGCAATATTTGTGGTAAAGGCTTTGCTCATACTGCTAGTTTGGTCACTCACATGACAACTCATACTGGAGTAAAACCCTTTCCCTGTGATGTATGCAATGTTCGTTTCTCATGTGTTGGGAACCTGCTGAAGCACAACAAAACTCAGACCCATATTTCCAAAGTGTTTGAAAAGGTATGTCACTCTCCTTAAATTTCTCTAATTTGGTTGTTATGATTGTGCAACTGCATTTTCCTCTTAACTTGTAATCTTCCTCCCTTGTAAAACAATGTGTATTTTTACTTACCGCAGACACCCCTTGACCAAGGCAACTCAGTATATCAGCAGCAGCCACTTCTATCGGCAGGTGACAGGCAGCTCCAGTTTCCTGTCACTGAACCACGCATACAGCGTGATGATGACAATTCACAGGACCATCTCAACTTCCTGGGCTACCTAAATGGACCTGCATTTCCGGGGGTTCACCCAAGTAGCAGTTCCAACCATATGTGGAATCATCAACCTGTTGATGGGGAAGAGCAACAGCAGCAACAACAACAGCAGCAACAGCAACAACAGCAGCAGCAACAACAACAAAGTCAACAGCAGCAATCTTCCTCAACTTCTTCATCATACTCTGGGTCTGGGTGCAGCTCCGGAGCTGGTGGGGGATCTGGACAACAGCAGCCCCCTGAACCACCTCCACCGCCTCATGATCAGCAAAATCATGACTCAGGTGTGTACATGAAATGTTTGTTTTGTTAATTAAATGAAAGCTTTTGCTGGGTTCTTCTCTAATGTTTTTTGTCTTGACCAGGTCTTGTAGCTGTGAAAACAGAACCAGAAGATGAAGACTCCGAAGAGAGCTCTCTTGCTAATCATACTGATGCTAACACAAGCTCTACTTCCAACCCAAATGCCTCTAAATCCACAATTGATGACAGAAGTTCACCGTCACCTCTTGATGCCAGTAACTTTAATTCTGCTAACAATGACAAGCCTTTCAGGGACAGGTTTGACAGTGATGATGATGACAATTTCTGGTGGGCTATGGATGAATCTGATAATGATAAAGGGGGTGAGCCCCTACCTGTCAAGGTGGAACTTGAAGAAGGCAGTGGGACTGAATCCTTGAAAGAACCAGAAGTACCAGTTAAAAGGAAACGAGGAAGACCAAAGGGATCCAAGACTGTGAATAGAAGGGTTGATAAAGAGAAGAATGCTAAGGGAAAATTCACCTGTGCAACTTGTGGTAAAGATCTCAAATTTAAATCACACCTTGTCAGACATGCTAAAATGCATCAAGAGGAGAAAAAGAGGAAACGGAGGAAGAAGAAGAAGAACAAGCAGAGGAGTCCATATACTGTTTCTAGCTCAGAAGATGACAATACTGACTGTGATAAAGATTCTTTCTTTGATTGTGTCAGTGAAGACGAAGCAATGCGCTTGGAACAAGTGAAGGAAGAGCCACTTGATGATGAGGATGGCAATGATGAAGATGGCCTGAATGAGTCGCGAGAAGGCAATGTTGCTGATGATGCAAGTGACATACCACAAATTGAAGGAGAAGTGAAAGTTAAGAAGAAGAGAGGGAGGAAGAAGAAGAGTGAGATAGAGGGTGGAGACTGGGGAGAACTTGGACCTGATGGGGAGCTTAGAAAGAAACGTGAAAGAAAGAAACCTAAAGAACCCTGTATTTGTGGTGTATGTGGGAAAGATCTAAGGTAATTTTTAAAATTATTTTCTTTCATGCTAAAAATTTATATTTTAGAAATTATTGCTAATTATCTTTCTTTATATTTTTGTCATCAGGTTTAAATCACGCCTGGCTGCCCATATTGCAAATCATACTGCAGAAGACATGAAAGAGAAACTGACAGAGAAAGATTCATGCTGTCTCCTTTGCAATAGAGAATTTGGATCTCCTGAAAATTTGAAGCGTCACATGGACCACACCCACAGTGACCATGGTGGCAAGAAGTCACTTATGACATGTCGCTTCTGTCCCAAACAATACATTAATGAAATGAGCCTGCTTAATCATGAGGCTAGTCATGGAGCAAGTGATGTTGGAACTGTTCAGTGTGAGGCCTGCCCGTAAGTGCTACCATTATTTCTTCTCAATTTTTAAAAGATGTAGCTTTAAATGTATTTTCAATACCCCTTCATCTTATTACAGACGCATGTTCCACAACACCAAAGCCTTGTCCCGGCACAAACTCAAAGAGCATGGGGAAGGAAACTTCAATTGTGAAATCTGCAATAAACTCTTTGGAACAAAAGACTACCTGATGAATCACATGAAATCAAAACACATGCCCAAGGAAAAGACCGATCCTTTCACCTGCCATCGTTGTGGCAAGCAGTTTGAGAGGAAACCAACATTTGTGGTAAGTGTAAATCCTTATTAAATGGTTGTTCATTTCTAAAATATTATTTTGAAAGTTACAAATTAGTACACAAGTTACTGTAACAATCATTTTAAAATTTTTAGATCCATGTTGAAAGTCAATGTGGGACACAACCACAATTCCCGTGCTCCATTTGTGGTAAAGGCTTTGCTAGTCGAGGAAGTCTTGGGACTCATCTCCTGATTCACACTGGCCAAAAGTCATTTTTGTGCAGGTTAGTGCACCCATTATTTTAATGGTGCAGAAAACATTTGCAATAGTTTCAATACCTTTTGTCTAATCATTTGACTAAATTTACAGATTTTGTGGGAAGGCTTTCAGAGCTAAGGGTGAGGTGAAGCGTCATGAAGTTAAGCACACTGGAGAAAGGCCATTCAAATGCAAAATTTGTGGAGAAGGTTTCCCATACCGCGAGTCACTTGTGACTCACAGTGCTGTGCACACTGGTATCCAGCCATACTCGTGCAAAGGATGTGGACGACGTTTCTCCTGTTCAAGTAATCTTGTGAAACATAAAAGGGTGTACAATGGCTTATGTAGTGCGAAAAACCAAGGAAACCAGCCTGGTCCTGGTAATCGCCGCAACAATGCTGGTTCCAATATGAACCAGGTCCATGCAGCTGCATTAGGAAACCAAGGAAATCAGTCTGCATCCATGTCAGCATCAAATCTCTCCGCAGCTAACTTATCGTCGAATCTCGCTTCACCTGGTTTGTCGGCAGCCGATTTGTCTGCAGCTAATTTATCAGCAGCAAATCTGTCTGCTGCAAACTTATCAGCATCCAACCTTTCTGCAGCCAATATGTCTGCCTCAAATTTGTCCGCTGCTAACCTTTCTGCTGCAAATTTGGCAGCTTCAAATCTATCTGCCTCCAGCTTATCAAGCAATTTGGCAGCAAATCTATCAAATAGTCTCAACAATATGTCAAACCTACCCGCCAACCTTGCATCGAATCTGGCATCGAATCTGGCATCGAACTTGGCATCAAACCTAGCAAATAATTTGGCTGCAAGTCAAGCTGCTCAAGCAATGCAAGCTGCCCAGGCTGCCCAAGCTGCCCAGGCTGCCCAAGCTGCTCAGCAAGCTGCCCAAGCTGCGCAGTTATCTCAGTCAGCTATTCAAGCTGCACAACATCAACTCAGCCAAGTTCTTCTTGCAAACCACAGTAATGAGAGTAATGACTCTATCCATGCAAGCCAACACCAGCTTTTAGCACAGGCTCATCAATCGTCACTTTCTCAAGCAAGTCTTCACATGAGGCCCCTACAACTGTCTCATCATGGAGCACGCACACCTCAGCCCCAGCCAACACCCTTATCGCATTCTCAGTTGGCTTCTCCTCCTCCCATGAGCCCAATACCATCACCTCTTCCTCATCAGACTCATCATTTGCAAAGTAACCATCACCAGATGCATCCCACCCATTTGTCGCAAAATCCACACCACCACCTTCACCACCTGACGCAGTTCAACCATCATCACCATCAATACAGTCAGCCTGCTCATCTTGGCAGCCAGCATCACCATCACCAAATGCAGGCAAATCACCACCAGCATCACCACTTGAGTCAATTGGCTCACCAGCAGCACCATCTGCCGCAGCCACTACAGCTGACTCATCCTTCCCACCCATCACACCATGCACATATTTCCCACCAACAGAATCCCCATGCACATTCACCCTCATTGCTACCTTTGTCGTAATGAGAGAATTATCCCCTTCATGTGATGAAATTTCATTAACTTTTGGTTCATGCTAGTTCTAAGTAGATATTTTGAATCATCTTTTTTTTCTTTTCTTTTAGAATGTGTTTATTGATCAGACTGACTTTGCTGACTTCCAAGTGACCTTAAGCAGAAAAATGCATTTTATTTGTTCTCTGTTTCAAAGCAAAGGATGATGTTTGAGAAATAGTCACATGTTTAGTTCTTGTTTGATGCATGCCAAATGTGTATTTACTTCTCAAAACCCATACTTGGTATTTTCAAGATGAGAGGTTACTAAGCTAAGTGAACTACGGTAATGTATTATGCTTCTTTAAGTGTTTGTCTCAGTGGAAGTATTGCTGGTCTTTTGATCTTGTTTCTGCAATTCATTGACCTATGCTTTTCAAAGTGCTTTGGATCCATTTTATTATTTTTATTCAGTATTTTGATTGACATACCTCTTTTGATGATTTATAGTTCAATTTCTTGAAACAGTATTTTATTCTCTGATTACAATTTCTTATGTGACTTGCATCACTCCACAGATCATAAATATATTGTCTTAACTTGTCTAGTATATGTAGGTTCATTGTCTTGCACTGTGAAATATTTGAGTGATAGATGACCTGGCTTGTGAGGTTGAGGTTTGTTTGGTTACATGTGAGGTGATAGGTTGTTTGGTTTGAAAGAAGTGATGTACCTTAACCTAGGTTAGTTTTCAACAATTATAGGTACTCTACCAATATTCCACCGTTTCTTACCTTATATACATTAAAGCAAAGTGTTTTAGAGTTTTCATAAATCAACTAATCATTTCTCTGAAGATTATGAAGGATGCTCGCTGCATCTTTTTTATTCTCTGACTTTCTTATTGGTACTTTGTATCGATGATGGCATGCTGCTAGACTGATACAGACTGATGATCACAAAGTACATCATATCACTCGAATGCATCATTTGGTCATGTATTATGAATTTGGTTTGTAGGTTCCTGTAAAGAAGGACTGTGTTGTTTTGGGGTCTGTTTGAACCATAGCACTTCCTGCTTTGATCTAATATCTTATGTATATTATTTACCAGAATGTACTTATTCCTATTCATCATCAATTATCACTGTAATCAACCATTTTCTTTATTTTATTTTTTTCAATAGCTTTATGTGTATATTATGTTACATGCTAGTTTCTGCATATGCGTGTATAATTTTATGTTTGTTGAATTTTGCATATTCATTAAGCCTATTTTGGGAGGGCATGCTGCTTTTCTCTTGCCTCTTGCAGGCATGATATCTTGTGCCAATGAAAATAGCACTATACTACTTTGGACCAAAACCTGCCCTCTCAAAATGGCATAATGAATGTAATTTTAAAAATTGCATGATTGTTTTGGGTTGGGTTCGTGAGAATTATTTCACAAGACTGTATTTGATGAATGGCAAATTCATATATGTATGGATAAATATTTCACATGTTTAATCCCACATGTGTGACATCCTTTATACTAGTATGGAGTTATATTTAACATCTGAAGATTATGTACAAAGTATTTTCCACTCTCCTCATTATCCATAACTTGGCCCAGATAATGCGGAAGAAAATGTGCCATTTAACATTCTACCTGATGAAATTTACAAAATTTTGTGTAGTTATATATGAAAATAATATTTCAAAATGGTTTCAACTTGCTGGCCTGGTTAAGCTTATTCGTGTTGTAGTTTCTCTGCTGGTTACAATGCAACTGACAAGCTGCTTTTGAAAAGGTTAATGAGGTATCAATGAAGGGACCATGTTTTGAGACTACTTACCCCTCTGACAAGAAAAGAAAGGAATATTTCAAGGAGAAAAAGTAAGAATTTCACTTCACATTTACCCCGTAGACTTTTTGCTGGATCCATCTTGACCAGGCCAGAAAGTTTCCCTTTTGAAATGTAGAAATTAAGGTATTTTAGTCTTATTGTTCCAATACTGCACATATCCCCCTTTCTACCTACCTTGTGGTGATGTCAGTATTGGCAACAATTATGGACCATTGTTAAAGTGATAAAAGTCTGCTCGAGGTGTGGTACCTGTCATGTACCAATATTGTTACAGAATTTCTTACAGTAATTCTTGAATTTATTTTCGTTGGCTACATTTTGGCATTCCATATCAAACAAACATAGTCATGATTGCTGTGAGTTGTACATGATTGGTATTCAATTGCATGAACTTTAGACTGCACATTTAGCTTTTGTTTTAACTTTGGGAAAGTACAATTATATGTCGTCAGTATTACAAAATTTTTAAATTAAGTAGATTGAATATTTGTTTCTGAGGTCTGCCCAATAATATCCCAATTAACATGTCATTACAAGTTGGGGGCACATTCTCCATTCATGCCTTCACAGGTTTAATGTTACATTTGTACCTTGTCATAGTCTTGTCATGCCATTTCCTTTATTGAACATGTCATATGTTTCTGCTGTCCTTTTGGTTCTCAAGTTTTGCATGTTGGAATTTGTTCAAGGCTATCATTTGAGGATTGTCTCCACTTCTCCCTGATGAATTTGTTATAACTTCTCAACAAATAATACTTTTTGCAGAAAAATTCTCCCTTTTTATTTTAATATTGTCTCAGAGTGTAAGTTTTATTGTGTGTTTATTTGTTGTCTGTTTTCTTGGTTGGGCTTGACAAATCAAATTAAATGGTGAATCTTGTGTTATTTTTTTCTTTTGTTACTGGTTGAATAGTTTTTTCTCTTCCTCAAAAATTTATGTACTTGGCACTCAGCCGTCAAGCTGGTACCTTCCATTTTAAAAACCTGCAATGTCCAGTCAATAGAACCACAAACCGTAGCACAGAGGTATTTAAGAAAACTCCTCCTTAAATATGTGAAGTCCTTTGATTAATGGAGGATACTTAAGGATATTGTATAAATGAAGGGTAGAAGGATTTATTGAGGAAGACAAATCTCTATATGGAGTTTTCAAATTAAATTGTACATAAAATATATGAATGGATTTTATATATCTATATCTAAGTAGTTATGAAAAGGCAACTATACTTATTTCATGCTTGACTCGTTCCACTACTGTATGTCTTTTACAATTTCTTTATTTTTCTCTTTCTCTTTATGTAAGTTGTGACAGTCTAAGATGATGCCTTTGTATTTAGAAAGTCATTGTGCTAATGGGCACTAATACTGGTTTTCTCTTGCTTTTCTGTCTACCTTCTTAGCATTGATTTCCCAAAGCACAAGAGTTTGCTATGCACTGCATTTCTTGCACTGATTCATTATAACTTTTCTTCAGTATTGGATTGGGTTAAGCTGAAGATTCACAACAAGTGTGCAGAGTATTGGAATATTTTCTCTTTACATTATTGGGCAATTGTAGTATTAACCAATTATTGTACCAAAAGTGAATTAATTCATCAACATTTACAGAAAGAGACGTTTTTCCGGTCTCTTCAACTACCAGCTTTTTAGAAGTATGACCGATGTTGCCTTGAGACTTAAGTTGTGCATTGAGGAGGAATTAGATGGTGAGGGTGATTTGTTTGTTTACCATGTTTTAATTTGAATCAAAATGTCCTTTCGTTTTTAGGAAAATAAGCGTGTGTGTTTTTGATTCAGGCTTTTATTCCCTTCTTTCTCTTGGCTTTTCAAGTGACCCCTTTTTTTTGTAGAAATGGATAAATTTTTGCTACATTTTTTTTTAAATTTTGGATTTAGCTGAAGTGAGAGAGACCTGATGCACATTTGCACCAACTAAAGCAACCATTGCTTTTTTGTGCACAATGTGGAGTGGGTTTTTAACTCCTTTTATCAAGTAGCTAAAGTTTAGTCTACTCTTCTTTCCATCTCATGTGGTATACATATTTACTGATAACATTTTTGTCTTATTTTGTGTGCCCTGTATTTGATGCCAGTGTGTTTCTTGGGAACACTTCCACTGCATGAAAGTAGTATGTGCCACTTAGATTGAAATACAGAATTGCTTCATGTAGGTTGATCCTCAAAATCCTGCACTTTAGCTTATAGCCGTGACCTATGGCTTTTGTCATGCAACAGCAATGTGATTGCACTTGCAGAGGTTAATGTGCAAGGAAATAGTAGACGCATAGGCTAGTAAATATACTGTAGGACTGAATGTAGTAAACGGATGTGGCTTCCTTGCCTTCAACTTCCCTTAAGTTAAAGGGAGCAGCCTGCTGGCAACAAAGTTTCTAGAAGTCTAGCATAGATTAGGATACAGAATGTTGCAAAGAATGATTGCCATTAACTGCCCTAAATTTAAACTAAAGCAATGAGTTGGTGACAATTCAGGTCCAAAACAAGCTAGAGTGCTTTGAGTTGGACCTCAAATTTCATTGTATAACTCATTTGATATTCATTTATGTTCATTCTTACTGTGAAAATATTTTTCTTTCTTTTCATATAGTGAGGTTTTATAACATAGCCTATATCACAACGTAAGATAAACTAAGATGTAGGTACTAAAATTTGTTTTATGGTAAATGCATAAAATGACTAACGTCAGGAAACTGTGAAACAAAATGTGAAATTTTATCAAAATTTAGATGTTGACTCTTTGTCAAGTTCCTAATCTCAATATATCATTATTTATTAGTTTTGGAATAATGTAGTAACAATTGCTAACTGTGCTTTTTAACAGCGCATTAAGGTATTTGAGGGCCCTGCCTATATGTTTCATTCCTGGATAAT